AAGAACATAAAGTTAAAAAAAAAATAATATAAATAAAATAAAAAAAATAATATAAAGGTAAAACATTAGTCATTTGCAAAATATGCCCATACTTTTTGATCTTGTATTGGTAAAATATTTTTTAAAGCCATTGTTGAATATATTAAAATTCATGATTTCTACTGATTAGCTGTAAAACCAGAAAAACTAGATGCTATTTTATGTGGAATTCAACCAATATTAGAAGGTAGTAGACTATTATTAACAATATTTTAAATATAAATAAGTTGATTTTTTGAAATTCTAATGTCCAGATTTTTATTATTTTATAGGCAGTTCCAAGAAAAATATTATGCATTGGATCAAATACTAAAAACATAATAGGATCAAAATATGGCAATTGTAACAAAGTTGACTATCGAATACCATATTGATCAAATAACTGTTTACATTCACTAGGTGTAGAATATTTTCATTTTTTAGCTATTGTTTTATGTTCTTCTATAGTTCATAGTGGATAATTATTAAGATTGAATTGATCTAATATATTATTAGCTTTAAATTTTTTTTGTATTTAAAGCATGCATATTTAGAAGAATGACTAGAAAAGCCACAGATTTTATTTCTTGCTAGTGTATCATATGAAACTAAAATTAATGCCCCAGAATATATTCTTTCAGCTAGATATTTATAGTTGCAAATGATTGTCCAACCCATAATTGTTTAAGTTCTTCAACTAATGGATCCAAATATAAATTAATTTTTTCAAGTGGTGGTTCTTTTGGTCCAGAAATAAAACTAACAAAAATTGTATTTTCTTTTTTATATCTAAGATGATAAGGTAAATTTAAAATAGTTAAATAAACACCAGCAACTGAATAAACTGTATGTTTTGTAACTTTAAACCAATCAATATTAATTGCAAAACTAATATTGGTTTTGTATGAAAATTTTTGAAAAAAATATTCATTTTGACTATTTTTAAAAGTTTTCCAAATTTGTCTATCGTAAATATCAAAAAAAATATTAGTTGAAATATTTATTCTTTCATAACAAGATTCTAATTGTTCTTCAAATCCAGACTGTTGTAATAAAGTAGCTAATCGACTTAAAATTGATTGATATGGATATATTTTAATTGGTTTATAAATTAATTTTCCTTTACTTGTTTTAATAGGTTTTTTTAATAATGTCTCACATTCACTACATCTTGCTTGTTGTGAATTATTAGAAATAATTTCCAGATTGGTTAAAAAATAACACTTTTCATATACAACAAATTGTATAATTGTTTTTTTAAATGATATAGCATCTTTAGCTTTATATAATGTTTCTAAAAAATCTGAATTATTACCAAATACCAAAGCCTTGATAAATATTAACAAAGCTGTGATTGCTGTATATAGTAAAGTAAAAGCTTGTTGAAAAGAAAAAATCTATAATAAAACCCATTGAATTGTTAAATTAAAAGAATCTTTAAAAGTATTTGATGCTATAAAATATAGGTATATTTTGGACTAGGTTGAGTAGATGCTTCAATATTTCTAGAATCTAAAATTATTTCTTCTTCAATATCACTATTTTCTAATTCTATTTTATCAAATAATCCAGTATCTTCTATAGTAAATATATTTTTTAATTGTTCAGATTTATTATCTTCAGATGAACTATCTTCAAATGAACTATAATTTAAATTTGTATCTTTAAACCTTTTTCTAGAATAATTTCTAATTGTTCTTGTTCTATTTTTTTTTCTATTTCTTCAATTCTTTGTTCAGCACTTTGTTTAATATTTTGTCTTTCCTGTTCTGGGTTTAATAAAATATTACTAGCTAAAAATGATGTAGTTAAATCCTCTGCAGATGAAGTTAAGATATCAAAACTTTGGCTAGTAACTAATAATGATTTTTCAATTTCTTGACTAGTATTAGTAGAAGAAGCTGTTTTTGTAAATTCTTCTTGTCTATGTAATCTTTCTGTATGAGTACTAACAATTTTTCTACTTTTACCGCAAATAGAACAATAATATCAAGCCATGATTGTTTTAAAATAAATTTAAAATTCTATTTAAAATAATGTAATATATAATTTCTAGCAAAAGCTAATCTAGATATTATATTTTATTAAAACAAGCTATTAATTTCTTTTGTTTTATACTAATATATAATAATTAATAGTATATTTTTAATATATTAATATTTTATTATGCAAATCTTGATTCTAATCTAAATATCAGATTTATTATTATTACTTTTGCTATCTTATTATTATATAATTATATATATATCATTGCAAACTACTATTATTAATATTGTTTGTTATTTATTAAATTGTAATATACTATTTAGCAAAAGCCGATATGGCTTTTGTTTTCTATTAAAAAGTTAAGAGATTCGAAATAGATTTCTTTTTTAACGATAAACTATATATATATAAATTAATATTCACTTAATATATTTTGCCAATAACTAATTTTTTTATCTTTATATTATTTTTATTATTTTATTTATATTATTTTTTTATTAACTTTATATACTTTATTTTTACTATTATTTACTTCATTTATATTATACTTTATTAGATTGTAATTAAGATTGCAATTTATTCTAATATACTATTTAGCAAAAGCCATATTGGCTTTTGTATTCCTATTAACTATATAAGAATACATATTAATATTCATGCAGTATATTTGTAAAAATAAAAATTTTTTCTTTTATATATTTATTTTTTTTACTTTTTATATTGCTTTTATTACTTTATTTATATTATTCTCTTTTATTAACTATCATATACTTTCTTTTATTACTTCATTTAAGTCATTTATTTTTATTAACTATTATATACTTTCTTTATTACTTTATTTATGTTATTCTTTTTAATTAACTCTCATATACTTTCTTTACTTCATTTACATCATTCTTTTTTATTACTATTATATATATTTGTTGAGTTAACCAAATAAGATAATATTGCACTTAGTAATTATAAATAAATTTTAATATGTTATTTAAATAAATCAATATACTCTACTGCATAAAGTAATACAGATTGAGAATTGAGTCTCGGGGATGTGCTTGCTGACTTGTAGGTAGTTTTGCTCAATATATGTGAGTTTTAGTAGAAGTAACATTGTCATGCCACAAAAATTTGTCGGTGATGTAATATCTGAGCTAATCAGATCAAAATCAGGCTAGGTGCTAGTGTCGATTTTAACATTAATAGTAGATTCTACTTTATATTATTAAACTTTAATGTTGAAATTGTAATACAAAAATCTTGTTGATATAAAATCAATACTAGCACCCTGATCCAATTAGCTCAGATATTACATCACTGACAAATTTTTGTGGTATGACCATATTACTTATTTTAGTAGGGTTTATATTTGTAAATTGAAACAGTATCATCTGATTCCTAGCATCATCTCTGACAATAAATATTACATTTATTGAGTTTATTCGTAATAAAATAATATGCCCTTTAGGTAATATTATCTGCAAGCAGCCTAAAGGGCAGATACGTCATGTTCACAATAAAATCATAAGCGATAATATGATTAATTTGGTGCTAGATAAACTTGTCATGTAATGCTCGAAACTTTTTTTGGGTGGTGATTTTATCCCGGTTGAACTTTTATAGAGCTGGTACACAAAGTCCAATAATGCTGGCAAAGTTTTTGTAATGCAGATCAATAATTATGTGCCACTGCATTAATTAATGTAAAAGTTATGTTCTTGAGTATAATTAGTAATATTATTGATCTATTATGCCAAAATAATAACTTAACCAGAATAGCTGAAAAATTATTCGGCAGATTTTTATCAGGTGTTTCAGAATTTATCATTATGAAAACAGCTGTAATCAATAGATCCAGATATAGCTATAATATTCGGATTTAACAATGATGCTTAAACATATCTCTTTATATCTGAAACCAATTTGTGAATGGACATTGTAGTTTAGATGATCATGAGGATGAGGATATAGAGGAAGAGGATTGTAGAGATGGGAGGCATAGATTAGA